TATATTCTTTGGCTCCATTTAATTGCACACATTAAAAAGATAAATACACACTATTCTGAAAATGACACTACCATAGATGAAATACAGAACTCCCTCAAAGGGAGAAGAATCATTGAAATTAAATTATTATAATGCTTTAATATAAGTTATCTTACTAAAACAAAACCCAGAAAAACAAACTTCCAATTCGGCTAAGACAGACGCTGGAAATGAATCGTATAAATAATTTTTTAACAGTGAGGACTTTCCAGTTATTTACTAAAAACATACCTATAACAAAGAACATGTAACTATATTATACAATATACAATTCTAAACAGCTACATTTGAAAAAACGGATTCTTCTGTAAATTATTTAAAATACACATCTCCTTCTCGCTAGAAAATGACTCCATTTCCTAGAGAGTATTTTAATGAAATCTGAACGTGGGGATTATCTGGTTCCAAATGTCAACACTCTATGCCCAGCTGGGCCAGGCAGTTAAAGTAAACGTGCAAGGGGCGCCTCGCGCACAACAGGACACGAAGGGACTAAAGACGGCCTGCCACAGTGACAGCATCAAAAAACAAACCAAAAAACCTTAAAATACTCCGCGTGCCAAACTGTTTAGGAGCCATATGCAGCCTCCCAGGCGGCCAGATTGCAGCTCCGATAACTAGAAAACAAGTAGCCAAGAGAGAGTGCAATCGAAAATGTGAACCAAGCCAACAGTAGATGCCAATAAATCCTAACACTCAGAGTGAAGAGCACAGAATAATTCTTCATGAACACGCTTCAGTTAGTCATCTATCCTTACACAATTTGAGCTATACGTAAGTTTAAGAATAAACCACAGAGTCTAGGGATTATGAACATGTGCCTTATGTCCTTGAAAACTAGGTGTTTCTACCTCCAGGTGGGGAAGGGAGAATCTCAGTTCTGACTCTCCGATGGTCTCAGGCACAGAGAAAACCAGTCTGTCGTGGCCCACCAGCAACCAAAGGCCTCTTTACTAGGAGGCAGTCAAGCCATTCCCAGGCCCCTATGTGTGATCTCCTGGAACATCAAGGTTGACCTGTCATGAGCACTTTAAGCAGTGTATATCAAAATGCATTTGCAATTTATTTATCATTAAAGACAGAAGTCAAAAAGCAAAAGTAGACAGAGATGACAGGGGAGGAAACAAAGCAAGAGGCCAACCAGCAAGACATACTTCCCCAGACCACCAGGACCTTATCGTGCATAAGAACCGAAGCTGTGCATCGCTTCCTGAAACACCTGACAGGGGTTCCAGCTGCCCTGACCAGTTCCTGGGTGGTCCTATGAACTGACTGTAGAATGAGATACTACTGACTTCCTTTCCTACGGAACATTCCAGAGAGCCTGAAAAAAGGGGGCTATGTTCTGGCGACTAGTCTAGAAATCGACACAGTCATTTTTCACTATAGGTAGACTCTGATCTCTTTGGGATTCCTTAAATACTTATATTAAATACTCACTTGTTAAATAATATTTCCACAGTCTCCTTAAGATCATTTATTTAATATGATGTTCAAAGACTGAAGCAAATATTTGCAGTGAGTGTTCTAAACAGGTGTCCATGTTTTATAATGTTTACTGATACTGGATTCCTCCTAGTTTAAAATACTGAAACATATTGGTTTCTTGTTCTTTGCCAAAAATACAAAAAAAAACCCTTAAACTTGGATCCTTCAAAGGAAAAAAACTGAGTTTATTTTCAGTTTGACTATTTGATATAGATGAATCACTCGGTACTACTAATAATTAAATGAATAAAATCAATGAATCCATATTATATGTAATATAGTACATGGTCTATTCAGCATTATGACAAAAATAGCTAATATCTATTGATAATTTACTATGTGCCAGATACTATATTAAGAGCTTTACATGGATCATGTCAACATTTCACTTAATCTTCTCCAAAATCTATGAGGTGGACACCATTATAACTTTCACTTTCTACTGAATTAAACAAGGCTCAAAAAAAAAAACAAACAAACAAACAAACAAACAAAAAAACCAAGGCTCAGAGAAGTAATTCTAAAAAGACAATGAAACTAGTAAGTGGTAGACTGGTAACAAACCAAAATTCAAGTTTATTTCTCTCTCTCTCGCTCCAATATTATGCCTAACTGTATAAAGAACACAGAGAAAGCAGACTTCAATTCAGCAGTAAAGCAGAGTACTAGAAGAATACTAGGTTTTAAAAATACATTATTTATAGTCAAAAAAAGCTATAAGCTACCCAATCCATAATTTTACCTTTTCTCAATACTCTTCCTACAAGATCTGCAAACCTGTTTATCATTTTTAAAAGATAACATTCTATAATGAATCTTTCATTTATTCAAACTCAGAAGTCATGGACACATTACTTTAACAGTGCTCTTAACTTCACAAGAACTTTTACTAGGAGGAAAAAACAAACAAAATCCTGAAATCCATGAAAAGTATAATGAGGTAAATTCAAAATTTTAAGAAAATTCTGTTGCAGATGGTTCCTTTGAAAGAAATATGGAAACAAAATTACTGACCAATTTCAGTTAATTCTATGACCAGGTATGAAGTCTCACCTTTACTGAGGATGTCATCCCAGAGTGGAATGGATTAATTTTTCCATAAAATGTCAACAATAGCATAGTTGGACATCATTTCAAGTAACCTAAAATCCAAACTGGAAAGCCCTTTTTTGGCTGTGCCCCAACCCACCTACTCAGGTGTCTAAGGAATCATAGAACACATACTAATGTTAAAAAGCTTAGATGATAAATGTTAAATTTATTAATAGATGCTGTTTAATATATTCCTTGGTAATGAAAATTCCCATTATTCCTTTGAATAAGACTTTGAAACTTTATATTAGGATTAAATCAATGCCACCTCTAAAATAAATACTGTTTAAATAGCTTCTTTAAAGAATGAAATTCCAAAACAAAGTAAATTCTATGCAATGGCTAGCAAAACATAAAGTCAACACTTCAAAACAGTATTCCTTTAGGACATAATATTTTCTATTGCTAGGAAAAAGCATAAAAATGATATTTTTCATACAGATTTTGAAGTCAGTGATGACAAGTGTCAATCTAAAATTCAAGTGTATTTTGAAAAGTTAATGTAAACATGGTGATCATGCAGTTGTATCCTACAAGACTTGGAGTCCTCTTGGTTTGTCTCCTTTTATGGCAGTTAATGAAAAGATCTAAGATTCCACTTATTCTAATAGAGAGGATGCATATCTGTGATAAATCCCCTTCACTTTAACCAGAAGAAACGTCTATACTCTAATTAAAATGTTAAGCAATTCTTGAGCATGTAGGTCACCTGGGCATATTTCATTCACTCTCTCGGATCATGAATGGGTGGCCTGCTATGTGAAGGTTACACGTTCATAACATAATCAATGAAAACTTGAAAGGAGGGACATGAAACGAAAGATTTGTTAAAACTTTCTATGTGATGTTAAA